AGAAGAGGGGGCAAGAAGATAATACGGCGGATATGGCACTATCTTGCATGTGGCAAACCAAGGTTTAAATTCCTGGCACCCCACATGGTCCCCTGAACCCTGCCAGAAGTGGTCCCTGACACAGGAGTAAGACCTGAGCACGGCCTGGCAGAATAGCCCCGACCTCACCAATTGCTTTTAGGGGGTGAGGCCACACTTGGTGGTGGTTAGGGGCCACCCTAGGCTTGAGGGTCACTGCTGATGGTGCTCAGGGCACTGTCCACAGAGCTGATGATCCGACTGGGATCTGCTGTGTGCTACATAGTTGCATCACTATCCCTCCAACCCCCACATTAAAAAAAAAATAATTAAAAAAAAACCCACTTGACAAAAATTTTAAGGGCAGAGCGAAAGCTCAGAGGGCTGGAGCACAAGATTTCTATGCAGGTTTGATTCCCCACATACAGGGTCTCCCAACCACGGCCAGGAGCAACCCTAGCACTGCTGGGACTGGTCTGCAAGTAACATCACGCATGGCCCAAAACCCAACCAGCATGGCCAGGAAGGGCCAGTGAGCACCCTGGGAGTTGCTCTGGCTTTTCTCTCTCTTTGGAACTATCTGGGGTTACCTTGCAGACACCCAAACGCTTCTTCACCCCGCACGCCTTGGTGTGAGTTTCCTAAGAACAAGGATGCTTTCCTGAGAAGCTGCAGCCTGGCCCTCACACTCCAGAAACAGCATCGACACGGTCGTCTTGGCTGCCCATTCTTTTCTCCAACGATCCCGGGAACATTCTCCATTGCTCCAGCCCTTCCACGAAAGAGCTGACCCTCGGGCATGGGGCTCTGCTCCCAGGATCCTGGAGGAGCGGGTGGTCGCTAGTCTCCAGGCTTGTCCTGGCAAAAATCCAGCTTCCCTATTTTTCTCCCCTCTTCCCTCCCCTCTGTGGCTGCTGGGAAAAGCCACAGACTGTTGTTTTGCTCTTAGTATGCATCAGGCTGCCGCAGGCCAGAGGCCACACTCAGGCATGTGGGCAGCACCAGCAATGGAACTCATGCCAGGGGGTCCTTTAGTGACTGAGTCTGAACTCCTAACAATTCTCTTTATCTTGCTCTCCCTCAGGCTTCTCCTCTGGGCCAGGCAAGGAGGCTGGTCATGGTCACATGAAGCCACCTGCTGCTTCTGGAAGGACTGTGGGTGCCTGAACCCAGGCGGATCAACCAGGACTGAGATCACCTCCTCCGTGGGCCTCCAGGCTTGCTCCTCTGTGCAGGCAAGTTGGGTCAGGCCCCAGACTCCCGCAGTCACCTAGTTCACCGCGTGAGGTGGCCTGGGGTGGAGCAGGGCCATAGAGGATCTCTCCCACTGGCATTGCCTGGGCTTTGGTCACACCAATGTCACCCTAAGGTGTTTACACGCACCTGATGATACTCAGGGCTTACTCCTGACACTGCACTCAGGAATGACTCCTGGTGGTGCTCAAGGGACCATATGGAATGTCGAGGATCAAACCCAGGTTGGTCGCGTGCAAGGCAAATGCCCTCACCACTGTACTATCTCTTGAGCCCCTACCCCAAGCCAAGGTTTTCGGGTGTTTTTTGTCTTGTTTTGTTTTTTGGGTCACACCCAGCAATCAGAGATTACTCCTGGCTTTGCACTCAGGAATTACTCCTGGCAGTACTCAGGGGACTATGTGGGATGCTGGAAAACAAACCCAGTCAGCCACATGCAAGGCAAACACCCTCTCTGCTGTTTGATTGCTCCAGCAGGCCCCTGCCCCAATGTCTTCTAAGTCTCAAATTCTGGGGCCTCCAGGCCTCTCATAGACAGGACTTTAACTGGCTCTGGAACCTAGGAAGGGCAGCAAAATCCTCCTGGTTTTAAGCCTAGGAAAGTGAGGTGTAGCGACAAACCTCTTATTTGTTTGTTTCTTTACCTTTTTTTGGGGGGTGAGGGGGGTTACTCCGATTAGTGCCTGGTGCTGGGATGGAACCCAGGGCCCCTACATGCAATGCACATGCTCCAGCCTCTCCAGCCATCTCTTCAGCCTACTGTGACAAATCTTTTTTTTTTAAGTGTGACAGATTTAGAAATTGCTGAGGAGGGGCAGGAAAAAAAAGGAGAGTAATGCATTCAGGAGGAAACACGGGCTTCTCCAAAGGCAGAGGGAACCCAAATACACATCTCAGCATTAGGTATAAAAATATGAAAGTCCACATCTCAAGAGGGTCTCAGATGTGGGCCACACATGTGCTTACATGTCCTTGGTGGGGCAGCTTATGTGCCTACAGTGACAGATTTTTTTTTTTCTTTTTGGGTCACACCCAGCGATGCACAGGGGTTACTCCTGGATCATGCACTCAGGAATTACTCCTGGCGGTGCTCAGGGAACCATATGGGATGCTGGGAATCGAACCCGGGTTGGTCATGTGCAAGGCAAACGCCCTACCCGCTGGACTATCACTCCAGCTCCTACAGTGACAAATCTTAAAGGCCTGCTACTGTAAGAAGGAAACTGGAAACGAAGTCTAAGTCCCATATTCTACTGCTGGGGAAACTGAGGCACGAGGTGACCACGTTTGCTGCCTGGTTGAGCTTCTCAAGCACAGTGTGATCTTGGCTCTAGAAAGGAAAAGGTGTAAAGGGTTATCAAACCTACCTGCATTTAGAGGCAAAAGGAAGACTGGGAGCCAGCCACTCTCTGCAGCCTTTTTCAGAACATGGCAGGTCCCTCTCCGCCCCCCCACACACATACACACACAACGAGCCTATAATTACTACAAGTGCTAGGGCCAGGCTGGCGTCTGAGCACTTGACTGCTGTGAACTCACTAAATCCTCATGTAATGAATTCTGCTGAGGTCAGTATAGCAGTAACACCATGGGCTGATGCTCGAAACAGGGCAACTAAGGCTGAGACCCTTCACCTCCCAGTGTGGGTGGGTGTGGTTTGAGCTCTGGGCTGGTCCCAGATGACCCAGTCACTGCAGGGGGAGAGAGTGTCCCAAGTAAGGATGGGTTGGAGGGAAAACCGTCTCAAAGCAATGAGGAGCTGAATCAATCACCAGCAGCATTTTTTTTAGGGGGTCACACCCAGCGGTGCTCAGGGGTTACCACACACAAGAATCATTCCTCATGGAGTTCGGGGACCATATGGGATGCTGGGGATTGAACCCAGGTCAGCTCTGTTCAAGACAAATGCCCTATCCGCTGTACTGCTGCTCTGGTCCCACACCAGCAGCTTTTTGGGGTGAAATGGTTGCCCCATTCTGCATCTTGCCCCACTTCCCCAAAGCCTATTTCTTACTTCGCTAAGGTTTGCATTAAAAACTGTGGAACTGCCGTTTATTCTGGGGTCACCAGAACTTGCTTCTCTTTTCCTATAATATTTTCCACTTCTTACGGCCAGGCTGGTCACACGGTAACTTTGAGGACACCACCCGCTTATTGCTAGTGAAGGTCTTTCTCCAGCTGTCGCCTCGACTTGGCCCTCGTGGGAGGTGAAGGAGCTTTCAGGGTTTCAGGAGCTCCAGGAACCTCAGGCGCCCGCGGAGGTGGGGGGAGGGGCTTCGCGTTCAGATGCTTTCTTTGGCGTGACCTTGGAACGATCTGTCTGGGGGAGAAGTCTGGGTTCTGCCGCACTCCAGGAGTCTTAACTCACCAGGACCCCAGCTTCCTCCTCTGAGGCTGGAGAACCGGCTTTGCACCGGGAGCCCGAGCGCGATCCTAGGACCACGTGGTCCTCCAGGTCCTGCAAGCTCCGCTGCAGGACTCCCAAGCAGAGAGTAACCCCCAACACGGAGCGGGGGTGGCCCCTAGCCCCCAAAAGCAAATAAATAAAATAGAAAGAATCACCTCTTGGCTGTGAAAGCTTTCGGGTAAACTACCTATAATTTTGAGGTTCTGGAAGACCTTAACAGAGGCCGGCTAATCGCCCGAAGACAATCAGAAAAGCGATTTCGTGTCACTTCAGACCTCACCTTGGGAAGGAACTGGGAAGTACGCCTAGTCGGGTCTAAAGACCAGCGCCCAAGTCCCCCGCCCCGCCCCCGCGAACAGCTCGCACCTTTCTAGCCCCTCCACTTTGCCCGCTGGGAGCCGCACTGATCTTTTCACAGGGAACGCTGATAGTCGGCCCCTTGGCGTCCACGTGCGGATTCGGCGTGCGCCGGCAGGCTGGGCGGCTCCGGGCCCGAGAGCGACCAGTGGGGGCGGAGGGGCGGGGCATCGGTGTCGTAAAAGTCCCCGCCCAGTCTTCTTAAAGGCGCACCCAAGGGTTTTTTTTTTTTTGTTTTTTTTCTGTTAGGACAAATAACCCCGAAGCACATTAGTCTTAAAGGTCACACTGGCGGTGGGGTTCTCGGCGCGGAGGTGACCCGGAAGAGAAATGCATCTCCCTACAGTGCTCAATCCGAGAGGTCACCCTCGGTCACCCCAGGAAGCAGCCTGGAGAAGGGGGGCCTCAGTCTTATTTTCCGTACAATGGGGTCAGTAGTGGCCTACGCCTTTAAGTTCCGAGACTAAGTTAACCAGGAGCGCCTCCAACACACACGTGCAGGTTCCTTCTCCCCTCCCCAGTCCTTGGATGATGGTCCTGGTGCCCCTTGCCCAAGGTCGCCAGCGAGGTGGACTGGGGGGCCGGGGGGGGGAGGCCTGGTCTCTGCCCAGCCTGCCGGGCTGCAGGAGCTGCACGGTGCCCCGCAGACTGCCGAGTGGGTTTAGACGCGACGGCCCCCTCCAGCACCTACACCACCGGGAGGGTGTTGCCCAGTCGCCCCGGAGTCGCCGGCGGGGCGCGGCGGCGGGCAGGCCGCGGGCTCGGGCAGAGACCACGCGGGGCAGAGCCCGCCTGCTCCGAGCGCAGGGCCGGGCCGCGGGACCCGGCGCGGGCCGGCGAGCCGGCGTCCGACGCTCCGCGGGGGCGGGGCCGCGGCGGCGCGCGGGGGGCGGGGCCCGCGCGGCCTCGGGCGAGCGGCCGGGCGGCCCGGGGGGCGGGGCCTGGCGGCGCCGTCCGCGGGCGGGGCGGGCTCGGCGGCTTCCCGAGTCGGCCTCGCTGCCCGGCGGCCGCGCGGAGCTGCACCGGCCGCGGAGCGGCTATGGGCCCGCTGGGCCCCCGGCGCCGCGCCGCGCGAGCACCGGCCTAGAGCCAGGTGGGCGGGACGAGAGCGGGGCCGGGGGCGGACGCGGGGCGCGGGGTCCGGGCCGGGGGTCTGGGGCCGGGGGTCTGGGTTCCGGGAGGCCGGGGTCGCCCCTTGGGCCTCCGCGCCGGTCCCCGCGGGCGAAGCCGGATCCGGCCGCCTCTCCCCGCTGGCCCCTGTCGCCTGGCCCCGCGCCCCCGCCCGGAGCCGCATTTCCAGCCGCCGGGCTCGGGCGGGAGCCGAGATTGCCCGGACCCGGACCCAGGGCCTGGCACTTCCGGGCTCGGGCGACGGGGTCGGGAGGCCGGGCGGCCGGGCGGCCGGGTGACTCCGTCCCCGCCGCCGGGCGTGGTGGCCGGTCCGCCCTGCGGTCCGGAGAGGGCGGATCCGAGGCTTGATCTTCGCCCTCCCGGACCTCGCCTGGCCGGTGGAGCCCGGGGGCGCGGCCCGGGGCAAGGCGCGGGACCCACGCGGCGGTACGTTGGCCCCGCCGCCTTCCTGCCCCCGCAGTGACCTTGGCCGGTCACCTCCCGGCCCCGACCTCAGTTTCCCCAGTGGCAAGGCCGTGGGGAGGGTCGCTGGAAGCCGTGCCCCCCTGAGTGGGGTGGAGGGGAGGGCCGGTGTGGGACCCGCCGAGCCCCTGGTCGCCCACCGTGACCGTGACCGGGAGTGACCGGGCCTCTGTTTTACAGAACTGAAGCGTCCAGATGGCGGACGGGCACCCCGGGGGCATTAGCCCCCTTCAGCAGATGGTGGCGTCGGGCGCTGGGGCTGTAGTGACCTCCCTGTTCAGTAAGATGGGGGAGGGGCAGTGGGCTGCGGGTTGGAGGTGGCCGGTCCTGGGGGGAGCCAGGCATCTGGGCTGAAGAGGTAGCTCAGGCCTGTTCTCCGACCCCCCACCCCCACCCAGTGACACCCCTGGATGTGGTGAAGGTTCGCTTGCAGTCTCAGCGCCCTGCCCATGTCAGCGGTGAGTGCCCACTCTGGGGTCTCTGGGGCATCCCACTGGTGCTGGTGGGGCACCCCTGAGCCCAGGACTCCTTTGTGTTGTAGAGATGACGCCTCCCTTCAGGCTCTGGAGCCTCTTGGATGCCAGACGTGAGTGCCCCATGCCCCAAGCACAGGGATGCATGTTGGCCCCCAGGGGAGGGTGGTCCCCAGCGTCTGCCCCTCACAGAGAATGTGAGGGGGGTCCCTCACTCCACCCCTTCCCCTCTCCCCTCTCTTCCCCCTCACAGGGAAGTGCCTTCTGTACTGCAGTGGGGTGCTGGAGCCCCTGTACCTGTGCCCCCATGGCCCACGCTGTGCCACCTGGTTCCAGGACCCTGCCCGCTTCACTGGCACCATGGTGAGGGGCAGCCTTGTGGGTGTAGACATTTTAGCTGGGAAGGGCAGTGCCTGAATGAGGTTTTATTTTTATTTTTTTAATATTTTAATTTTTTGGTTTTTGGGCCACTCTTGGTTGTGCTCAGGGGTCACTCTTGGCAGTGCTCTGGATTATACGGGGTGCTAGGGCTTGAACCCAGGTCAGCCAAGTGCAGGGCAAGTTTCCTACCCACTGTACTGTCGCTCCCGTGCGGGTCTTCAAGTGTGAATAAAAGTCGACTTGGAGCTGGGTGGGGTACCACGAGGGGTACAGAGGGGGTTGGGGGGTAGGCAGGGGCCAGGGCATTGGAGCTGTGCCCGTCACAGCCAGCTCACGCTGTCTTCTCCCTCTGCGCTGCTGTCCCTGTGTCCAGGACGCGTTTGTAAAGATTGTGAGGCACGAGGGGACCAGGACCCTGTGGAGCGGCCTCCCCGCCACGCTGTGAGTGCCCCACTCCCGCCCGCCTCAGTTCCCACCAAGCCCTCCTCCCCCACTGCCCCGGCTCCTCACTCCCGTTCCTGCCCCAGGGTGATGACCGTGCCGGCCACTGCCATCTACTTCACCGCCTATGACCAGCTGAAGGCTTTCCTGTGTGACCGAGCCCTGACCTCGGACCTCTTCGCGCCCATGGTGGCTGGCGTGGTGGCCCGCTGTGAGCAAGGCGGGGGCTGCTCTGCCTGTGCCTGCAGGGGTGGGGCGGGCCCGGCCCCCCTCGGCTGACCTCACTCGTTCCTCGCAGTGGGCACCGTGACGGTGGTCAGTCCCCTGGAGCTGGTGCGGACAAAGCTGCAGGCCCAGCAGGTGTCCTACCGAGAGTTGGGCAGGTGCGTCCGCGCGGCCGTGGCACAGGGCGGCTGGCGCTCACTGTGGCTGGGCTGGGGCCCCACGGCCCTGCGGGACGTGCCCTTCTCAGGTAGGCGTGCAGGCGGGCAGGGTGGCTGCGGGCACCTCCTTGCTCCCCACCACCACCACCACCACCCCGGGCCTCACACACGTTCCCCCCGGCCCACAGCCCTGTACTGGTTCAACTATGAGCTGATGAAGAGCTGGCTCAGCGGGCACAGGCCCAGTGACCAGGCTTCTGTGGGCATCAGCTTCGTGGCCGGCGGCATCTCAGGGACTGTGAGTAAATTGGGCTGGGGTCAGGCCTGCCAGGGGGTCTTTGGACCTGAGGGTAGTGGGGAGCAGGGTCCCCGGACGCCCCATGAGTCCTGTGTCCCTGCAGGTGGCGGCCACCCTTACCCTCCCATTCGATGTGGTGAAGACGCAGCGGCAGGTGGCGCTGGGCGCGCTGGAGGCAGTGAGAGGTAGGAGGGTGAGGGCCTGGGGGCTGGGCCCGCCGTGGGGGTGAGGTCTCACCCAGTCCCCCCTTGCAGTGAAGCCCCCGCGTGTTGACTCCACCTGGCTGCTGCTGAGGAGGATCCGAGCTGAGTCTGGCACCAGGGGCCTCTTTGCGGGTGAGCCTCAGGGGGGTATCCACATGGTGGGGGGAGAACCGCCCCAGGACCTTGGCTCAGCCTCCTGCCTCCCACAGGCTTCCTGCCGAGGATCATCAAGGCCGCCCCATCGTGTGCCATCATGATCAGCACTTACGAGTTCAGCAAGAGTTTCTTCCAGAGGCTCAACCATGAGCGGCCCCTGGGCGCCTGAGAGGACGAGCACCCCATCTCTCCCGGGAGTGGGGGGCCGCACAGGAGGGGACCGAGCCAAGTGCCTTGTCCTCAGCACTGATGGGAGGGGCCCCAGTCCCCCCTCCCTCTCCACTCTGAGCCCCAGGAATAGCGGGGGCTGTTCTCTGGGCCCACACCGATTTCTGCCTGCTGCTCCCCAGTCCCGAACCTCAAGAATCATCACTCTTCTGCCCCTCACCAAATTGAAGACCAAATCTGCTGACCACCCCCAGCCCCATTTCCCCTCTGTGCTTGTTGTCGATGGGCCTGCCCAGAGCCCCACGCCCTGGCAGGGCATTGTCTGCACCCTGAGTCTAAAGCTGATGAACTTCTCTGTGTGCCTGTGACTGTGGGGCCAGGGGAGGTCAGGATGGGGGGGCCTGCCGGGGACTCCGTGTTGGAGGGCTGAGTGCGGGAGAGGCATTCAGAGTGAGGGCCCCCCTACTCAGATCCGGGTGGGGGTGTTGGCCGCTACCAGGGTGGGTGTGGTGCCAGGCTGACCCGGGGTGATGGGGGAAGATGACCTTCATCTTCCACTGCTTGCCCTGGCATCAGCCGTGTCCTTCCCTGAGTGCCTAGGGTATGTCCTTGGAGGGCACCCAGCTCCCCAGCTGCAGCCCCAGCTCCCCAAGTTAGGCTGGCCCCCTCATTCCACTGGGCCGGTACCGCCGCCTTCTAGCCAGGCTCAGAATGGGGCCCCTGTGCCCACCTCACAGACAAGGCCACCCTGAGTCCGGGGGGTTTTATTGGCCTAGGCCCCTTGGAACCTGCCTTCCCCGGCGCTGAGGAAGGAAAGAGCCTGGGGTACACAGGAATGGAGGGAGAGGCGTGGGAGGAGGGGGGCACGAGCCGAGGAGAATCCAGGGGGGAGCCAGATGGACATCGGGGTCACCAGGAGCACAAGCCTCACTCCCCTCGTGGGGTCCTTGGTGCCCCGCCCAAGCAGTGTCTCTGCTTGGCAGACAAGCTAACAGGCCAGGAGGCCCCTGGCTGGGGCAGCCTTCCTGGAGGGCCTGCCCTGGGCGCTGGCCACGCGCTCCTCAGCTGGGACTCAGGGCTGGGCTGCCCTCAGGACTGTCGCTCACCAGGCACTCGTTGGATTTGAAGCTCGCCAGGGACTTGCAGCTGGGGATGGAGGCCAGGGAGCCGCAGAGGCCCAGCATGGAGGGCGTGGGGTCCTTCCCTGGGGAGAGAGGGTGGGTGAGGTGCGCCAACTCTGCAGTGTGTGTGGGGGTAGGGATAGTGACGGGTTGCCTCTGTGTTACCCTACCCCCCAGGCTCCTGTCTCCCAAGCAGGGAGATCCTGCTACACCCCAGCCCTTCTGCCATGCGTGGTGCCAAGACACCAGATTGTCAGCGTCACTTCCTGGCTGTCTCCCCCCAGCTCCATCCGCTCCTTTATTAAAACACACTGAGCACGTGCTCCGCTCCAAGCACTGGGGGTACAGAGAAGGGACGAAACACAGGCCCTGCCCTCATGGAGCTCACAGTCTGGTGGGGGGAGACACGGACAGTCACGAACAGTGTGGCAGGGTCACATGTCCACAGCCTGCCTTGTCCTGGGGAATCTGGGGCCATCCGGTACAGTGGGTTAAAAACGAGGAAGAAAAAAAAAAAGGAAATCCAGGCACCAGGAAAACTCAGGAGGGGACACAGGATGAAGCCAGGGGGTGGTCAACACAAAATGCATGCGTTGAAGTCCTGGGCATTCGCTTGCAGGGAGCCACACTAATTTGGCTCTGAGCTTCCTGGCAGCCAAAGGAAAAGGGGAAACAATGGTCAGGAGTGGTTCACAGTGCATGAGAAAACAGACTGAAAAGCTCCCTGGGAATTATGGGCCCCCCTGGGGATGTCCTAATAAGCCACTGAGCCCTTTTCACCCTCTGATCCCATACACCCCACTTCACAGAAGGACTGGCAGGTTGTGATGATGGGCCAGGATTTGCGCTGAGGTCTGTCTGCATCCCCCAATCTGTTTCTAAGTGCTCTGGAGGAGCTGGGGCCCACTCAGGCTCGCCTCAGCCCTCCCTGGCACGGTGGTGGGATAGGGGGGGGGGGGTCTCTCACCGATGGGGCCCCAGGGCTCCTCATCCCGCTTGTTCTCTCCCAGGCGCTGGGAGTCCGAGCTGAGACTGGCTTCAGCTGACAGTGGCTCCGGGCTCATGAAACTGTGTCTGTGACAGAGCAAAGAGCTGGGGGCAGGTCTCACGGGAGGCGGGGCGCAGGCCCACGCCCAGATGGCCGGGGCTTACCTGCGGTAGAGTTTGGTGTTGTTGGTCCCCTCCGCTCCACTGAGCGTCCCCAGTGAAGGCCACTGGTTGACCAGGGGCGTGACCAGCTCCTTGGAAGCCTGGGCCAGGGGGGCGTGGTCACCGGGGATCAGACCTGTCCTGGGAGGGGGCGGAGGAGTTAGGTGGGGCGGGGAGCCGGGGAGGGAGGGGCTGCAGAGGGGGCGGGGAGGGGAATGGTCCGGGTGAGCGAAGGTGTCGCCGGGAGCCGCATCCGTTGAACGGTCTCGAGGCCCCTTGTTTACCGGCTCGGGAGAACCCCTCACCAACCACGGGGGCTCAGTGACGCAGTTCCTTGGGGCCTGTGGCGGGAGGTGGGGTGCGAGTGACGGGTCGGCGCACCCTGGCCGGGTGCGGGAACCAGCAGAGAGCAGGGCTGGGGGCCCTGAAGAGCATGGGCGGGGGTGAGGGTGGGGGACGAGACGGTGCTGGGAGGTCACAGGGGTGCAGCTGTACAGGGTAGTATTAGAGGGAGGGGCGGGGAGCAGGGGCCTGGGAGATGTTGCCGAGGAGGGGGTGCTGCGTGGAGTGCGCCGTGAGTCAGGCTGCGGGGGTCGTGCTGAGTGTGGAGAGTGGGTTGTGGGGGTGTCCCTGGATCTGCCGCTGCGGACAGTGTTGGGGCTAGGGGGTCCCCTCCCCCTGCGGGATCGGTGGGGCCGCGCCGCTCACAGCTGCTCCTGCAGCTCCAGGATCACGCCTTCCAGCTCCCGCTTCTCGCGCTGGTTCTGCGCCGCCGCTTCCTCCAGCTGCAGCTGCAGCCGCCGGTTCTCCGCCTCCAGGTCCTTCAGCTGCGACTCGCGCAGGCGCACCAGCTCCTCCAGGTAGCCCTGCGGGACGCCGGCTCAGCTGCCCCGCGCCCCGCAATCCCGGGGCCCGCCGCCTGCGGGTCCCGTATCCGCCGCCCCGCGCGCGCGCCCGCCGCGCCCCGCAGCCCTCGCCGCGCGCCCGCCGCGCCCCGTAACCCCCGTCCCGCAGCCCTCGCCGCGCGCCCGCCGCGTCCCGCAGCCCTTGGCCAGCCCCTAGCCCGCGCCTGCCGCGTCCCTTACACCCCGGCCGGTGCCCGCAGCGCCCCGCACCCCTCGCCATTTCCCCGGCCCGCAGTCCCCCCTCGCCACGCGCCCGCAGCATCCCGCACCCCTCGCCGCGTCCAGTACCCCCCCACACCCCCCTTGCCGCGCGCCCGGCCCGCGCCCACCGCGTCCCGCTTCCCTCGCCACGCCCCCCGCCGCGGCCCGCCTCCCTTGCCAGCGCCCACCGCGGCCCACAGGGTCCTGGCTCGCACCCCTCGCCGTGCCCCCCGCCGCGCGCACCTTCTGTGCATAGACGATGCGGAACTTCTGTTCCATCTTGTGCCACTTGCTGTACCAGCTGTCCTCGTCGGTGACAAGTGGCAGGTAGGGGTGCTCCGGCGAGTTGTCCTCGCTGGTGCTGCTCTCAGCGCTGTGCCGCTCCTCCTCATCCGTCAGGTAGTCGTAACTTCGGGGAGGGGAGGGAGCAGTGGGCACCCACGCCCGACCCCGCGCCCCCCGCCCCCCCCCCCCCCCGCCTCCTCGCCTCGTGGGGCTGCCTCACCTCTGGGTGAACTTCAGGTAGGGCGTGTAGTCGATGACCACCGGGGTCTTCCCGTCCAGCACTTCGCCCTTGAGGCAGAAGCTGGAGCAGAGACCCAAGGGTTGGAGGTGGGGGTGGGGGGAAAGCGGGAAGTGGGGTCCCCATCCTGGCCCCCACCCCGCCCCCACCTGAAGTCGATGGCGCTGAGTCCGATGAGCATCCCCGTGAGTACCGTAGCCTCCTCCCGCAGCATGATGGCGCCTGAGTCGTAGAAACGTCTGTGGGGGGTGCGGGGTGGGGAGGGGCTGGTGGGCAGCAGCATCCTCCCAGGACCACCCCCACCCTGACTTTTTCCCAGACCAAGGAAGGCCCCCCTTTCCTGCTCCCCACCCCCTAGGATCCTGCCTTCTGGTGAGGCTGGGCCTCAGTGAGAATAGCTTTGGCTCCCTCTCCTCTGAGGGTCCTCTGAGAATGACCCTACCCCAATGACTTTTTTTTTTTTTTGCTTTAGGGCTGGAGTGATAGCACAGCGGAAGGGTGTTTGCCTTGCGCCCCCAGCCCAGCCGAGCTGGGTTCAATTCCTCCACCCCTCTCGGAGAGCGCGGCAAGCTACTGAGAGTATTTCGCCCGCACGGTAAAGCCTGGCAAGCTACCCGTGATGTATTCGATATGCCAAAAACAGTAACAGCAAGTCTCACAATGGAGATATTACTGGGCCCGCTCGAGCAAATTGATGAACAAAGGGAGGACAGTGGACAGTGACAGCTTTAAGGGCCACACCGAGCAGTATTCACTCCTGGTGGTGCTCAGGGAACCACATGGTGTCAGAGCTTGAACCCGGGCCTCCTGCATGCAACGCCTGTACCCTCCCTAGTCCCTGAGCCATTGCTGGCCCTCGGTCCCCAGAACTGCCTCTTCCCTACCACATCCCGGGTCACCCAGCTCCATAAGCAAGAAACCAGTTCTCACGGGCTTGCGTTAGTGCTGAGGAACAGCTGGGGAGAGCAGTGCCTGGGGAGGGCAGGCTGGGATGGCATGGGAGAAAGCCAGGGGTGGCACCTGGGCGGGGCAGGAGCCTATTCCACGAAGCTCCGCTCCAAATCCACTTCTCTCCTTGGGCACCTTCCACCCTGTGGCCCTGCCCCGCAGACTCATCTCTGTTCACTGGGGTGCTTCAGATAGGGACTCGACCCACGGGTAGCAAAGAGAGTGCCACCAGGTGTGGGCAGAGTGGGAGCCTGTGTGTTGCCGGTCACAGAACAAGGCCACTGTGGCCTCGGGCTGGGCCATCATGCAGGGATGGCACTAGAGGCGGAGGGGCCTGATGAGTTGGACCTCGGGGTGACCATGGTGCTGCCCCAGGGGCCTGGCAAACACTGCCCCTGCTGGACTTCTGCAGGGACTGGCACTGCAGGGACTGCGGGAATGGAGGGAACCAGTATGGTGGGCAGGAGGATATGCCCCCTGATGCTGAGGGCAGGGTCTGACCTGGTGGTCCGGGTGTCCCGCAGAGCTGTGGTGATGTACTCGGACATGCGCTTCTCCATCAGCGCCACCCGGATCCATGCCCGGCCCTGGGAAAGTAGGCCAGCCTTGACATGCAGCCCTGGGCAAGGGTGCACTGTTGGATCCAGGCTTCCTGTGGCCCCTCTCCCAGGTCCTACGGGCAGGAGGTAATCCGGGAGGAGGCAGCCCCCAGACACTGGTCCTGGTCCTCACCTTGGCTCTGGCGGTGCTGATGTTCTCCATATTCTCGATGCTGCTCACGCAGTTGTTGGGCACTTTGCCGCAGGCCAGCCGGATGTAGTCCCAGAAGCCTCGCTGCCCGTCTGAGCTGAACCAGCTCACTGGACCTGCTGGGGCACAGGCTGAGCCAGGGCAGGGAGGGGGGCTCAGCAAGACCCGGATGGGTGACGAGGGGCCGTGTAATAAGGCACATACATGCCCGTCTAGAAGCAGCCCCTGGCTCCTGGCGTGTGACTGTCCTAGCACGTGCCTCCCACATGGGCCAGCACCACCTCCACATACCCAGGGCTGTGCTCACCCACTGGGCTCGACCCACAACACTGGCCCCTGGCTCTGTGCCCAGAACTGGGCTCTGGGTCAGGAAGGGGGCTTCAGAAAGGCACGGAGAAGATGAGGGGTGCTGGGAGGCTGGGCACTGGGGCGTCTGGAACCGGGGCCCACCTTTGAAACGGTGGCTGAGGATCTGCTCGAGAATGGCTGCGAAATTCACGAACTCCTCGGAGGAGTCATCAATGGGCTCAGCCGTGTACTTCTCCAGCAGGGTTTTCACAGAGAACCTGTTCAGGGTGGGAGAAGGGGTGGTGTCAGGCGAGAAGGCGGGGCAAGGGCCAGGGCGGAGGAGGGAGGGGCAGACGGGTGTCCTGTTGTGTGGGGGCACCCGGGAGCCAACAGGAGACTGGGGGGGGGGAGGTGTCACAGCAGGGAAAGGATGGGGTTGCAACAATAGGCAGAGAGATGCGGCGCCCAGAGCAGCCAGTCTTGACATGCAGCCCTGGGCAAGGGTGCGCTGTTGGATCCAGGCTTCCTGTGGCCCCTCTCCCAGGTCCCACGGGCAGGAGGTAATCCCCCAGAGCAGGGGACGCTGGCCAGAGCCCCTTCCTCCGTGCCCACCGTTGGGAGCTACATCGTCTGGGAAAAGCAGGGAGAGGGGGTATCACCTTGTGCCTTGGCCTGAGCAGGCTGCGGCTTGTGCTGGGACCACCTGTCATCCCTTCTGAGGTGGGGGTTTCCTCTTTCAGGACACTTGATAGCAGTGTAGGGAACGTGGGCATGCCCAATGGCCAGGTGGGCTCTTGGCACACCGATGGTTTGGCCGCCTACACACCAGCTGCCCAGGGCCCAGGCAGTGCCAGGCTGGTGGGGAGGTGCCGGGCGTGGGTCTGACACAGTAGGGGGTGGGGTGAGGGGCCTTGGTAGCAGGGCTTTGGGAGGAAACGGGGGCACGGACATCAGGGGGACCCCCCTGAGAAGGAGGTTGAGGTCTGGAACCTTCCTTCTCTCCAAGCCTGCCCAAAGCCTCAGCTTCCCCTGCATACCCCACGGGCCTGGGCTGTGCAGGGGAGTGGCGAGAGGGAGCACAGAACTCCCAAGCGGACCACTCTGAACCCAGTATGAGGAGCAGAGCAGGGCTGGGTGCTGCTGTCCCGAAGCATCTCGAGTCCTGGCTATGCTGGGCACTAGATTTCTCAGTGGTCACTCCTCTTTCCTGGCCGTGGCCCTGGGAAGCAGGGGCAGTCACCATCTCTGACACCCCCATTCTATGGAGGGGGCAGCTGAGGGCCCCAGGGTTGGGCGATGTGCCCAGTCACACGACTGGTGAGAAGTCAGGTGGGTATGTCAGATCTCAAAGCCCTTCACGCTCTCCTTGTCGCCTCTTGGGGGCCGTCTTGACCACCAGGGTCCACAGTTCCTGTGTTCTCTGTCCATCCCCTGGATCTCAGCCCTGGAGGCATCGCCATGTCCACACACCTCCTACTCTTCCCTTTGGACTGAGAGTTGGTGTGGCCAAAGTCCACCAGGCAAGCATGGGGGACTCACAGGGGTGGGGGGCAGCCCTTTTCTGGTGACACCTCTGTGGGGCCGGGCAAGTCACTGTGTCCTTCTGCAGTGCCTTCACACAATGCTGGGCCCGGCCTCTGTCCTTTGGATGGGATTTGGGGACTGGGCAGAGGTGAGCCCGGGCCAGGGGGCAGGGGTGGGGAGTCGGTGTTTAGGGTACTCCAGGTTCCACTGTACAGCTCCCCATATCCAGGGTCCTCCTGTTAGCTGGGTCAGATCTCAGGAGGGGCCTGGGACCAGCTCAGGGTGGGAGCCATCTGCTCTCTGTCCCCAGGGGTGCTGAGGGGCTGGTCATCACCCTAGGAGCTGCATGGCCAGTTCCCTGTTAGGAGGTGTGGTGGCTGCTGTGGGTTACCATGGAGACAGAGGCCAGGCCCAGGGGAGCCGTGGCCGGCTGGAGGGAACTGTTCTGGGAACTGGGGGCCAGGTATGTGACAGCGATAAAGCGGCCGGGCCCAGGAGGTTCCGAGCTTCTGTCATGCCCCCCCACCCCAAACTACCCCTCACAGCCAAGCTCAGTCCTCTGCTTCTCCCGTCCAGGACCTGGGGTCTGCTCCCTTTTCCATACCAGGAGGCCCAACCCTCCTGACGAGGAAGCTGGGATGGCCAGAGGGGAGAGAGGCTTGGGGGGCTCTCAGGAGGCACCAATTGGAGGGGCAGGCACCTATATGGATCATCCCTGTCCACTCCTTGGAGTGACAGTTACAGCCACAGTGGGGAGGGGGAGGTAGTGAGGGCCCAGAGTGGTTAGGAGACATCTCCAAGGTTGCCCAGCTGAGCACTGAGGAAGGAAGAGTGTGTGCCTAGTATCTTCTGGTCTCAGAGGCAGGGAGCTCCCCTCGCCCCAGAGGGCTGGGCGGTGGCCACACTCACTCCTTCCCTATATAACATTTCCGGTATGGAGACATCTGACGGCACCCCTGAGCCAGGCACTGGGAGCTCACGGGGCGACGAGCAGTGGGGCTGGGTATGTGCCAAGAACCTGGAAGGAGCTAGAGGAGCTCAGAGCCAAGGCAGCAAGTGGGCACCAGAGAGCCTGGCCAGGGCCCATTCTCAGGCAGGTGAGGCTGGTGAAGAAGCTGGCAGCTCCCCTGCGCCCCCTCTGCTCAGGGGAGGGCACAGAGAAGAGAAGGCAGCTGGCCTGGGGAGCCTAGAGGGGCAGTGGGGATGCGGGTGCGGCTGGGCAGGGCCGTGAGTCACTGCGGCGGGCGGGGAGAGAGGCTCTTTCCCCTCCTGACACCAGGAAACCTGCGGCCCAGGGAGGATGAGCACAGCCCCACAGCGGCGCTGGGGCCCGCCCTGCCTTGTCTCGCTGCTCCCGGGAGCCCAGGTGAGCCTCTGGTGGTAAGCTCCCGGCCCTCCGGCCCTTGCAAGGATTCTGGAGTACCACGGGGCCTCTGCTCTCCAGGACCTAGGCGGCCCCATTCCGGCCCTGCGCGGTGGAGAATCTCTCGAACCCCACGTCCAGTCGCACCCCAGGGTGCCGAGTGAGGGTGTGCAGGAGGGAGGGCCACGGACTCTCTCCACAGGCGTCCTCTGCCCACCCTGCCCAGCCCCCAGCCAAGGAGCCAGCCTCCCGCCCCGCACATGTCACTTCCTGGCTGTCACAGGAAGCTGCAGTGCCAATTGAACACCCCCACCCCCAGGCCCAGGCTGGGCCTGGCTCGGCCGGCCGGCAGCGGCCAGAGCCCCCGGCCCCAGGGCTGGGCCCCGGGCGAGTCGCTCAGCCCGCGCCTCGCGGGCCCTGGCACCCGCGGCCGCGCTTGGCACCGCCCGGCACCCCGCCGCCCGCCCGCGGGCTCACCTGCACACGGTGATCAGGTTTCGCCGCTCCACGGCCACGTTGCGGGAGGACGCTTTCTTGGAGGACAGCCCCAGAGCCATGGTGGTCTGGACAAAGCTCGCTTCCATCCAGATGTGCGGCTACTGCTGCCGCCGCCAGCTGCCCCCCCACCTCGCCGGGAGCCCCGGCACCCCCGCGGGATCACGGCCGCGCCCTCTGCCCCCCGGGGCCCCGCGACCCCTCTGCGGCCATCCTGCGGCGGCGGCGGCGGTGCGCCCGGTGCCCGGCCCCCTGGCTCCCTCCCCCGGCGGCGGCGCCGGTGCAAAACAAGGCCGGGGAGGGAGCTCTCCGAGGTGCTGAACCGGGGCCCGCCGCCCTCCCCCAACCGCCCGCCCCCCTCGGCCCGTGACGTCAGGGCCCGGCCCCGCCCCCCGCGGCCGGGGACCAATCCGCCGAGGGTGCGGGATCGGACGGGGAGGGGAGAGGCCCGAGACCCCAGGGGGTCCCCGGAAGCGGCGGCGGTTCGGAGGGGGAAGAGCGGGCCTCCGGCGCGTCCTCCACCCCGCAACTGGCCGTGGGGCCCGTGGCCGGCGTCCCCGAGCCCGGGCATCCGACTGTCTGGGCTGTCTCCTGCGGCCCGCCCCCGCCGCCGACCCCCACCCGTTCCCCGCAGCTTTCCAGGGCCCGGTCTGCGCAACCCCCACCCCAGCGCGGGAGGCCGCGCCGCTGGCCCAAAGGCCCGGGCGCGTTTGTCCTTCTGCTTCACTGGTCTGCAGCAGCCGGCGAAGGCCGCCGCTGCCCCGTGGGGGATGGGAGCCCAGACTAAAGCCCAGTGCGGCAGCCTCGCTGCACAGCCCGCCAGCGCCTGGGCACCGTGCGGATTCCCAGCAGCAGAGCCGCTGCCCCGGGCAACTGGCGGGCAACTGGCGCTGATGCGTTTCCTCCCGTACAGCCGCCGCCCGGTGCCGGCCACCCGCTGGCTCTGCTGGCCCTGGAGGTCCTGCAAACGGGCAGAATCTCTTCCAGGAAGGAGAGGATGTGGGGGGAGGATGTGGGGGGGGGCGGGTTCCCCGCAGTGAGACTGTGAAGAAGCCCAGCAGCATCAGGTGTGACCCCAAAACAAAACAAAAGAAAGAGAGTTCGAGAAATGTGAGCCAGAGAGATAGTACAGTGGGTAACCAGTTTACCTTGTGCACGGCCAACCCAGATTCAGTCTCACCCTGTATGCTGGGTGCAGGGGATTGAATCTGAAAGCTAGTGTCCTGCTCACTATGCTATGACTCGGGCCCCCATTCCTCAAACTCTGGCCTTGGTCTCCTTGACGAAGACTGCTTGTTGTGGGAATCAGGCAGCACAGGTGGAACTGCAGTGGGCCTGGGAAGGAGAGCCTGGGGCCCACAGTGAGATCTAGAACTGAGTCTCACATCATCTAGAGGGCAAGTTAGACTTCACTGCAGGGTGAGTGGGGAGCTGTTCCCAGGAGGATGTTGTGCTGTTATGAGTCCTAAAACTCTCACCCTGGTTACTTGGGAGCCCTGCCTCTGCCTGTCTCTAGCACTGAAATCCATCAGAGAGAAGTGCCCAGTGCCCAGAACTGGTGGCTATTAAATACTATCAAAGGGGCTGCAGCGATAATCCAGTGGGGAGGGCGTTTGCTTGCCTTGCATGCGGCAGATCTGGGGTTCTATCTCCAGCCTCCCATATGGTCCCCTTAGCACCACCAGGAGTGATTCCTGAGTGCAGAGCCAGGAATAACCCCTGAGCATCACTGGGTGTGATCTAAGAGCCTAAATAAATGATTTTTTTTTAAATGCCATCAAAGTGCTGGGGTTGGGTTCAGCTGAGAGACAGGGGTTATGGCACTTGCCTTCATGGGCCAGTCTTGCTTCTAGCCCCAGCACGGCATGGTCTTTCCAGTACCTCAGGGTGTGCTCCCCAAACTGAAACAAAGGGAGACTGCTGGGGAAAATGAGTGGAGGGCTGGAGGGCTGGCTGAAGGAGCTGGTGTGCACATTATGCATGTGGGAGGGCTGAGTTTGATCGCCATCACAATAGGGCCCTGGCTGGAAATAGCGTCTCTGAGCACTGAGGAAGGAGTACCTGTGAGTACCTCCAGGTCTGTCTCCCAAACAAAAGAAAAAAAACAAATAGGATGTTTATCCAAATGTATTAATGCATTCAGATCTGACCTGGGCTTGCAGTGTGCAGGGACACCCTGACAGTCATCCTGACATTGTCAACTTTGCAGTGACATGAGGAATACCTCATATGACCTACGGCAGGAAGTGCAGAGGTGAACAGACAGACAGGATGGGAACTGAGAACACAGTATTCCGGAGCACGGTCAGCCCATGCACGAGGGCTAGCAGGGCTCAGTGCATCGCCCCGTGTACCCGAACAATGCTCATTGAGCTAAACAGTGCTCATCCCGCAAAGACCACTTTGAGAAGGCCAAGCACAGCTTCTGCTGCAATAAGTCAAAGTGTAAGTCAAACCATCCTGCCTACCATTTGATTTCTTTTTTTTTGGACCACACCTGGTAATACCCAGGAACTGCTCTTAGGTCAGTGCTCAGGGGACCATGTCGTGAGTAGGGCTGGAGCCATGGCATTCCAGTGCCTGGTGCTCTCGTTCTCTCTCTCTCTCTCTCTCTCTCTCTCTCTCTCTCTCTCTCTCTCAATTTGTCTTTGTATTTAAAGCTCCAGCAAGTCAAGGCCCTCTTAGCCAGGTGTGGGGGACCCTGAGATCGGGTAGGGGAGCTCTGGAACCCTGGGGCCGAAGCTGGAACCTCTCCCCTTGCTGGCAGCCTTGCCTCTCCTGGAGGATGACAGGCAGAGTCACCACCTGCAACAGACAACCCACAAGGGGATAATTTGTCCCATCAAGGTCTGTCTGTCTCCACAACTCAAGACCAGAAACTATGGTCAAGCCTCATCTTGGACTGGGTGTCCTCAGGGCAAATTCTGTCCCAGCTCCCCAAGAACGGGGTGACTCACCACGGAGCTGTAGCATGCAGTAGGCAGGCACAGGAGGAATTGGAACTGGGGAGGGCGGGGAGCGGGGGATACTGTCAGCTCGGCTAATACAGGGTTCACTGAGCCGGAATCCTCTGCTATAACCAAGGCCTGGGGTATTTCTTGACTTTATTCTCCCCCCCCCCCCCCAAAGCAAGGCAGGATGAGAGGGCTGAAGGCACAGCCACAGGGCAGTGGAGAGGAGAAAGTGAGGCATTACCATGATGTAGAAATCCAAGGCCCCACCCAGAGACTGGTGGACCTCCTCAGAAAAGGAAAAACTACAGGAGAATCTATGAGATTATGAGAAGACCATTAACAGTACAAGACTTTCCAAAGTTTGGGCCAGAGCGATAGTACAGCAGGGAGGGCATTTGCCTTACATGTGGTTGACCTGGATTCGATCCTCGACATCCCATATGATCCCCCCGCCCAGCACCGCCAGGATTAATTCCTGAGTGCAGAGCCAGGAGTAACCCCTGAGCATCGCTGGTGTGACCCCAAAAGAAAAATAAATAATTAAATAAAGAAAGTGGTTGATTCATTTCACATCCTACCATAATCTAGAGGCCTAGAGCTCCGTGTCCTGGCCAGTATTTATTATTTTCACTCTAAAATGTTTAATTGTTTTCTCCCTGAAAATCAGGCTTAACTGAACAAAAGGGAATGCCCTGCCACAGAGGCAGGGTGGGATGGGGGGGTGGGGGTGGAAGGGTTACTGGGATCCGTGGTGGTGGGAAATGGTCACTGGTGGAGGGATGGGTATTCAAAATAAATAAATAAACAAAAATTAAGAAATAAATAAAATGTTGTTACAGTGAGTGAGGTGGCAACAGTATGATTTCCTTCTTTCCTTCCTTCCTTCCTCTTCCTCTCTCTGGACCGGCAGCAACCTCTGATGTCATTTCTAGAATCATAGAACAGTGTTGCCTGTTTGAGAATTTATATAAATGGAATCAAATAATTCATTCTGTCTGGGGCCGGAGTGATAGTACAGCAGGTAGAGTGCTTGTCTTTGTGTGGGTTCCATCCCTGGTACATCATGTGATGCTCCCTTGTGCCCACCAGGAGTGATCCCTGAGTTAGGATTAAGCCCTGAGCACTGCTGGGTGTGCCCCCATTTACCCCCCCAAAAAAAGTAATTTCTTATACAGACTTCATTGTGCACAAAGCTCTTGAGATTTATTAACATTGTAGCATGTATAAATAATTTGGTTTTGGTGGGGTAAAACTGTGTCACATTTGTCTATTTATGCTCTTGTTGGTAGCTCTTGGGCTTGAGCAATAGCACAGCGGGTAGAGCGTTTGCCTTGCAAGCAGCCAACATGGCCGGCCCAAGTTCGATTCCTCTGCCCTCTCGGAGAGCCCAGCAAGCTACCTCGCCCGCATGGCAAGTTACTGGGCCCGCTCGAGCAAATCAATGAACAACGGGAGGACAGTGACAGTGACAGATTTATTTTGGGCTGGAGCGATAGCACAGTGGTAGGGCGTTTGCCTTGCGCGCTGCCAGCCTGGCCGAGCCGGGTTCAATTCCTCCGCCCCTCTTGGAGAACCCGGCAAGCTACCGAAAGTATATTCAATATGCCAAACACAGTAACAAGTCGTCTCAAAATGGAGACGTTCCTGGGCCCACTCTAGCAAATCCATGAGCAATGGGAGGACAGTGTGACAGACAGTGCTCTTGTTGGTAAGCATTTGAACTATTTCCAGGTTCAGGGTAATGTGAATAAAATACACATGAATGTTTTAGGCTTTTGTTTTGTTTTATGACACACCCTGTGGTGCTCAGTGCTCCCTCTGGCTTGATGCTCAGGGGCCCAGGGGTGCTGGGGAGGGAGCCTTGGTCTCCTGCCTGTGAAGCCTGTATTCCAACTCATTGCGTTCTCTGTGCAAGACTAAATTTGTTTTTGTTTCTAGGCTACACCTGCCTGTGTAGGGGATACCCCGGCTCTGTGCTCAGGGATCATTCCTGGCGGACTCGGAGGGCCATATGTGGTGCTGGAGTTGAGTCAGGGTTGGCTGTGTGCAAGGCAAGTGCCCAGCTGAATACTATTGCTTCATCCACCAAGGCTGAAATTTAAAAAAACAATTTTTTTTTGGAGGGGCCCCGTTCTGCGGTGCTCAGGACTTAACTCCTGGCTCTGGGCTTAGGGATCACTCCTGGTCAGCTCAGGGGACCCTATGGGGCGCCTTATCTCTCTGTCCCCCACCAAGCCTGAATACTTAAGATTTCAGTGAACATGCATTTATGTTTTCTTGGATAAATTGTCTAGGCATGAATGAATGAATCATCAGGTAAGTACATAATTAGCTGTTTTGTATTTTTGTTTTGGGGCCACACCCAGAGGTGCCCAGGGGCTACTCCTAGCTGGGTGC